CTGCCCAAACCCACCATCTGGGCTGAGCCAGACTCTGTGATCATCTGGGGGAGGCCTGTGACCATCTGGTGTCAGGCGTCCCTGGAGGCTGAGGAGTATCATCTGAGTAAAGCGGAAATCCCAGAACCCTGGGTCAGACAGAAGCTTCTGGAACCCAGTGACAAGGCCAAGTTCTCCATTGTACACCTGACCCAGTCCTATGCAGGGAAGAATTACTGTTACTATCACAAGAGCACTTATTGGTCAGCACACAGTGATTCCTTGGATTTGGTGGTGACAGGTGAGTGGACTCTCAGGGTCCCAGTGTCAGGCTCTGGCCCTTAATGAGAGTGTCTGCTCTCATGACTGTCTTCCCACTCACAGCACAGCCCTCGGTGATGGGGAAGGAGGTGTGAGCCTCTATCTAACACATCTGCTTCCTTCTACCTAGGATTCTACACAAAATCCACACTGTCAGCACTCCCAAGCCCCATGGTGACCTCAGGAGGGAACTTGACCCTCCAGTGTGGCTCATGGCTTGGGTATGATAGATTTGTTCTGTCTGAGGAAGGCAAACACATAGGCTCCTGGAGTCAGGACTCACAGCAACTCTCGAGTGGGCAATACCAGGCTGTGTTCACTGTGGTTCGTGTGACCTCCAACCACAGGGGGACATTCAAATGCTACGGCTACTTCAAGAACACACCCCATGTGTGGTTGAAGGCCAGTGACATCCTGGAGCTCCTGATCTCAGGTGAGGAAGTGATGGCCTTGCCCATGAATGACTTAGGAACTGAGACAGGAAGGATGATAGGGAGAGGAGAGTGCCTGGCTTCTGAGGGCACAGGCACAGAGTCATAAACATGGTGATGCCGGAAACCGCAGCAGGGAGAGGGGGGTTTTTGGGAAAAGCAATCACCTTCAAGTCCACTGCTTGTCTTCCTCTCCCAGGAATGTATGGGAAGCCCTTCCTCCTGAGCCAGCAAGGCCCCATCGTGGTCTCTGGAGACAGCCTGACCTTCCATTGTGGCTCCGATGTCAGATACGACAGATTCGCTCTGTCCAAGGAGGGGACACATGACCTTTTGAAATACTTTGGCTGGCAGTCAGAGGCTGGGCTCTCCCAGGTCAACTTTCCCCTGGGCCGTGTGAACCGCACCCATGGTGGAAAGTACAGGTGCTATGGTGGGTACAACCTTTCCCATGAGTGGTCGGCCCCCAGTGACCCACTAGACGTCCTGGTCACAGGTGAGGAGCCCCTGATGGATCCTTCCAGGTACTCTACCTCCACACAGGCTCTGCATGGGGAGTCCTGGGGTGATTGGGGGACCTGGGGTGTGGCGTTACAAGAGATTGGGAAACACAAAAAGAGACTGGGATGGAAGGGAAAGTGTGAGGTGCTCCCTGAAAACAGAGACTGAGGCTGAGAGATCCTTGCTCAAGTACCTGTTGAATGTCAGTTGGGCCAGCCTCTCCCCCTTTCTTCTTCTCTCTAGGAGAGCTCCCCTACAAACCCTTCCTCTGGGTGTGGCCAAACCTCACAGTGGCCTCAGGAGACAATGTGACCTTCCAGTGTGC